CATGTGAGCCAAGCTGGGTTTGGTCAGGGTCTAATGCAGGTTGGTGGCCTCCAAGGTTCTCAGGTTGGTCATGTGAGCCAAGCTGGGTTTGGTCAGGGTCTAATGCAGGTTGGTGGCCTCCAAGGCTCTCAGGGTGTGGTCCTTGTCGATGGGCAGGTAGGAATGAGTGGTGCAACAAGACAGGCAGCACAGGGCCCCTCTCAAGGAAAAGTCTCTGAATCTACTCAAGTGTTTGTAGTCAAAAACGGTTCAGCTGGCGGAAAGCACAGCACACACTTAGTGCAGGACATTGGTCAAATAGGACGGGGATCTTCAGATTCCAACTTAGAAGCAAGAGGTAAAGGCGTGCAGGTGAAAACTTTTTCAATGAGTTCACATGGTTCTGCAGGATCAAGGGAGGACTTTGCACAGATAGCCGCACCCAAGATTCAAGGAAACCAGAAAGTGGTTATGCAGCATAAAAAAGTCTCAATGATCAAGAAAAATACAGAGTCTAGTACAAGTCTGTAAATGATCCTCTTGTTTAACGTATCCACTGAGGTTAGATATAATGACAAATATTTCTCCTGTAAAATGCACTATAGAACATGTACTGCTGCATGTAGATTTAAAATGAAACAAAATATGAAGAGTGTAAACTGCTTGACCCAAAGCTTTACCATTTTGTGTTTATGACTGTCTGTGTAGGTCTAAATAAACACAATTCTTTATGTAATTTTAAATAATAAAAAAAAATGTTTAAAGGCATTCATTACCTGACTTGTACCATAGGTAATTTAAAGGTATTTCTGAGATTCAACGTTTTAGCCCAGGTACAAACTACTATAATTCAAAATGAAAACTAGACTAATTCACATTTTCTACATTTCACACAAAAGCATCTTATAAACCCATATAAAAAATGGGGACGGTCCTGAAGACAAAAACAGACTTTATGTTCCAGGAACAGATGTCAGATTAAAGACAATATTTATTTGAACACAAAGTGTGCTTGGCAGGAAAAAAAAATGCACAGATTTTATTTATTCAACCTCCTGTTTTCCCTCAGCCTAACTCCGAAAACAGCCTATCAAAAACATTTTCACCAGCGCAATATGCCTTTACTGTATTTTTGTAATTTGTCGGCATTTTTTTTTTGTACATTAAAGAAATGTTGAATGCCAAATCACAAAAAAGTGTTTATAATACAATCTTGTTTTGTTGCAAGCCAGTTTGTGCTAGAATTGTAGTTTGACTTTTGTTAAATTCAACCCTTTCCGTTTGTGTTTTGTTAGTTTTTTATTATTATTATTTTTTGATAAAAACCAAGTTGTGGTGTAATTGATTGTCTGAATATTCAAAGATGACCTTGCTAAACACTGAAAGTATTTGTTGGGTGCTTTGGTTTCAAACTGCTGTCTTTGCCATTAAAAAAAGTGTTTTGTTTTCTTGTTTTATAATTTGCTTTAGGGATAGCAATGCACTAAAGTAGCTCGATAACGAAATTGATTCTGTTGTTTTGCATCTGCTGTCCTGGTAAAATCATGCAGAAAGTCTGTTGGTTTTACATATTTTTAGGCATATAACATATTTTTTCATGCAAAATTAATTAAAGATTGTGTGTGTATATAATATGACTTTTTATACAATGAATGTTTTTTAACATGATTGTGATTTCATTTGAGAACTTCACAATATTGAAGGATTTGGATGGCAGAGTGTTTTTGTTTAGTTTCTTGTTCGTTTTTAATAAAATGTCTCTTCATATTAATCTACCTCTTTTTTTGTGGCTTGATAAAGTGTTTTGAAATGTATATTTTAAAGGTACTATGTAATGTTTACAGTGAAATGCACCTCGCATGTAAAAGTTATGATTTTTTTTTACTAACTATTGAAACATCCACTTGAAAAATCATCTCAAAACATTAGTTTTTCAAACTATACTTGTCAGATTATGTGCAGCAGACTTCAGGGAGGAAGAGGTTAAAACATCTTTCAACAAGCGAGGTTCACGTTTCAGGCTCATGCAAGCTGACAGTAGAATTCCTGTTCTGTGCAGAACGAGTTTCCTTGTGAAATGGCTCACTTGAAAAGACTCAGATTTCCCAGAAACAAAAAAAAAGTAAATGGCCGAGAACGCAGGTAAAGCCTAAAACCTGCAGTGTAGCTGTTTTAAATGGAATAAGCCAACCGATTTAATCTCTTCTTTTCACCCCAGCTTAAGCACACCAGTTTTTGTGTTGCTTTCCTGTTCTGAAACAGTCATTTTAAGTCTATACAAGCGTATATGTCAGAAAAACAAAAGGTATGATTAATGTTTATCCTAAACATACAGTATGTCAACGTATTTCCTACCCATCCAGCTAGGTAGGTTGGTGTTTATCCGGTTGGTTTGTTCGGTAATTGAATCATGCTGGAACATTGTACCACTGGGAAAAAAATGCATTTAAGTAAAAAGTATGTCTGCTATGATGAGATGCCACCTCATGGACATGAACATTAACAGTAGTTGTTTCATATTTCAAAACAAGGAAGGAGATCTTGTTTGTTGTCCAGCCTTCACGCGTTGTTAACATGGCCACGCTTGGGGTTTGAGGTCAGACAAACGGCCTCTTTTTTTCTAATTTAGAGCTTTGCCATTTTTGTCTCTGTTTTTTAAAGTAAGCTCTGTAACAACGGAGAAGTCTGCCAAGTTTTATGTTTTCAGTAGTTTTGTTTCTGTTCAAAACTGGTCAAAACGCTAAGATTTCGTCTTAAAGGATTTATATCCATATACCCAAAAGAAAGACAAAAAACAGGTCTAACTTCGGTATTCTTCTGTTTTGGGGCAAGCAAGGACAACCTCCTGTTTTTGTTTTTCCCATAAGTTAGCTCCTCTGCCATCATTCACCTCAAAGCACATGTTTTCCATCAGTTGTCAAACTGGAAAAAAAAAAGGTTGCTTTCTCAGGCAGGTTTTGGGTGTGGCCCGTTGCAGAACATATTTCACAGCTGCACTCCTCACAGAACCATAGCAAACGCCTTATCTCATTTATTGCGATTGTGTCATGCCCAAATAATCATAACAGTTTCTTTTTTCACTCCCAGAGTTCAAATCGCGCTGTGAACTCGTCAGTCATCAGTTTTGTGTTTCATATTACTTTCACTGCTTATTCAGTATGAAAAATGTACGGCTCTGCCCCGACGTGTGACAGGTACCTGCAAGCAAAATGAGACAACAGATCAAGGTGTCACACCAACCGTCTTCGTACTTCGGCAAGCTCAAACCATACAAGAATGCGTCCATTTAGCTGTTAATCATCTTGCAGTAATAAAACTTTAAAGTTTATGGTCGGTAATGACAGAGCAAAGTCAATTAAAGGAGAAGACGGATACCTTGCAGGGTGTGTTTGTGGATAAAATCAAAGAATAGACTGAAATATCTATTGTTAAGCCACGCCTTGTTTCTGCACTCAACCTTCTGCATAATCCAGACATCCTCCAAAAAGACTTGCAGTTATGCAGGGGTCACCAGCAAAACTCACATAGGGGTCAACATTTTAACGAGTAAACAAAGTAAATAAATTCATGGTGATGATAATGCATGTAATAAACTGCAGAGCTGTCAAACCTGGTGTTAGGAGAAAAATACAGATTCACCAAAGTTTTATTTAAAGGCTTTTGGCTGCAGCATTGCTGGGTTCTGTTATTTTGATTTATTAAGACCCATTTTATGTCTTCAAACATTAGCATTTGTTAAACTCTTATTTTAATATAACCCAAAATAATTTCCCGCATTTAATTTTTTATTTTTTTTTAAACCAAATGTTTTGGTTGCTATTTTTGCCCGAGTCACTGAGCAAGAATGTTAAATGACGCTAATATGAAAACGTGTGGAAAATAAAATGTTAAAACGTATCATATAAGGAAAAATAAAAGTATCTAAAACAAGCTGATGAAACATTATTGACAAAGAGTTGTGGATTTTTTAGGTGTTTGATATCATTAATGAACAAATTCATGCACCAGTAGCAATATTTATTAAAACCAAAAATATAACATTTTATCTTCACCTAACTGCCATTCAGGAAAGAACCTGTGACACGTATACAGGGTCTACACTTATCTGTTCATCATTCTTTAAAAATAAGCCGGCAGACTGTTTTCAGACCAACTCTCACAGTGAGCGGGCAAAATATAACATAATAAAACGTTAGATTTGTATTGTAAAATGCTTTAAAATGAAGTAAACTGTTCTCTTTTTCTATCTAAGTTGTTGAAAATAGGACATATGTACATGAAAAGTACCCTGCCCACACACACACACACACCCTCCATTTCCCTTTTTTTGTTATTTGTAAGTAAAGTCAGCTACGTGTTTAATTCAAAAACAAATGAAATTGTATTAAACAAAATACAGATCTTGTTAAGAAAATTTGTCACATGTTGCAGCAACTGCTGATTGGGCCCAAGAACACTATAAATATAACAAATGTGAAAAAAAAAAAATCTTCTTTCGGCTGCTCCTTTCTTCAGGGGTCACCACAGTGAACTAAGTCACACGAAGACAGCAATTATTTTGATGCTGGATGTCCTTCCTGACACAACCACAGACCACCGAGCTACCACGGCCCTCTGTGTGGAGCACAGAGCTGCTATCTATTGTGAAAACTATGACTAAAACTATATGAATTGAATAAAACACAAAAAAACAGATTTAACGTTAACTGAACCACTCCCAAACTTTAGCAACTTGTCACCGTTTTAAAACAAAGAAACTAAATTGGTTGTGATTTCATAATCCTGGGCTTGGTCTGTAATCTTTTAGGGCTGAAAGCGTATAGGGCTGAGTCTGATTCATTTTAACAGGGAGGGTCAAACACGTCTCTCCATAACGGTTTTTCTTTCAACAGGTTTGTTTAAATCCAAATAATATAAGTTGGATAATTCTGGGAAGTACGTTACTTTTACCTGTTTAGTTGAATGAATGACAATATGAGAGCAAAACTGATAAATTCATACATTCACCTGAAAATTAAACTTAACTTTAACTCAAATAAGGTGAGAACAGGTGGCAATTTTAAGTCAGTCCTGAAGGATACGCTACATTTTAAACACAAATGCTGAGAAATCATTAAAATTGTTTATTTTTCTTCATTTAAAATGTTAGGTCCACGTATAACCAGCAGAAATAAATCATTTAACGAACCTAAACTTGATATATTTACGTTGCGCAAATATATTTCTTGTTAAGTCAAATGACTCTTAATTCACAACAAATAGAAACATGACGTGAAGCAATGCTTTTATATTTTATTTGAGATAACAAACCATAGATGTGAGATAAAGCAAATGCTATGAATATTAACAAATAACCGTGTTAAGAACAACTTTGAACTGTTTGGTTTTTTCCCCCTGACATGAGCAAAGCATGAATTTGAGAAACATTTTACAAAAGCAGTCGCGTGTTTTAGGTTTTAACACCACTTCCTAGCTTTGACACAACAAGCAATGTCTATGTGCTGCTTTTCTTTATGGCTGAACATGGAAATTTCAAGATTTGCACAATGCAAAACATTTTGATATATTTATTCCAAATATCGTCTCACTGCTTATAGGAACACAACTTCTTGTGGAACTAGTTCAAAGTCACGTGGGTGTTTGATAATCAATGGCGAACATCGTGTCGGACTTCTTCTTCATCTTCCATTTCATCCTCTTCGTATTCACCGATCTCATCTGCAGTGGCATCCTGGTACTGCTGGTACTCAGACACCAGGTCGTTCATGTTGCTCTCAGCCTCGGTGAACTCCATCTCATCCATTCCCTCTCCTGTGTACCAGTGCAGGAAGGCCTTGCGACGGAACATGGCGGTGAACTGTTCGGAGATCCTCCTGAACAGCTCTTGGATGGCCGTGCTGTTCCCGATGAAGGTGGCGGACATCTTAAGGCCGCGCGGAGGGATGTCGCAAACGGCCGTCTTGACGTTGTTAGGGATCCATTCCACGAAGTAGCTGCTGTTCTTGTTTTGGACGCTCAGCATCTGCTCATCCACTTCCTTCATGGACATGCGGCCACGAAAGATAGCCGCCACTGTGAGGTAGCGTCCGTGGCGGGGGTCGCAGGCGGCCATCATGTTTTTGGCATCAAACATTTGCTGCGTGAGCTCTGGCACGGAGAGGGCGCGATACTGCTGGCTACCCCTGCTGGTAAGAGGCGCAAAGCCAGGCATGAAGAAATGCAGGCGAGGGAAGGGCACCATGTTGACAGCGAGCTTACGAAGATCAGCGTTGAGCTGACCGGGGAAGCGGAGACAGGTGGTCACCCCACTCATGGTGGCCGACACCAGGTGGTTGAGGTCTCCGTAGGTTGGTGTGGTCAGCTTCAACGTGCGAAAGCAGATATCATACAGGGCCTCGTTGTCTATGCTGAAGGTCTCATCTGTGTTTTCCACCAGCTGGTGGACAGAGAGGGTGGCGTTGTAAGGCTCCACCACCGTATCAGAGACTTTCGGCGAAGGCATGACGCTGAAGGTGTTCATGATGCGGTCAGGGTACTCCTCACGAATCTTGCTGATGAGCAACGTGCCCATCCCTGAACCTGTGCCTCCACCCAGAGAGTGAGTGAGTTGAAAGCCCTGAAGGCAGTCACAGTTCTCCGACTCCTTTCTCACGACATCCAGAACCGAGTCCACCAGCTCAGCTCCCTCGGTGTAGTGACCCTTGGCCCAGTTATTTCCAGCCCCACTTTGGCCTGCAGAATGGGAGGTAGAAAACAATACTCGTGATGAAAAACGTGGTTGGGCAACCTATGTTTCCTTTCTAGAAACCTAACTTATTATCATAACATTTTTAACAAATGGTCATGAACCACCCTGAATGACCTTTAATATATTCAAATAATAAAATGTGGGCATTCTTAGTTCTTGACAAAGAATTTTTGTTTAAGTACCAATAAAATTGACCAAATGGGATAGTTTAAAAATGAAACTTTTGGTCATTATCAAAAGATCTCTTACTTAAAGTGAAACAATAAGAACCCAAACAAATGTGAGCTATGGGATAACTTTATTTGCCATTTTTTTTAGAATTGAAGAGTTGTTTTGGTTTGTTCCCGGTCATCTACCACAGACTACCATACTCAGTTTGTCTCAGTAACTTGGTGTCACGTGTTCTTTCAGTCTAACGTTCTGGAAGTTTAATCAACCAGTCCCTTGAAAACACAAAGCTACGAGAACAAAACATTTTGTCATGCTGTGTAAACAATTAAGAAATGACATTCAAGTCATTGAATTGGTGCAAATCAAGTTTGAGTGCCAAGAAATAATTTTGTGCGTTGAGTAAACTAAAGCGGTCATGCAGAAAATCAAACCAAAACCCCGATTTCCCCCGGAAAAGATATTCAGGAAGGTTCAGGGAGTGGAACGTGTGACAGTTTGTTTTATTGTAAAACCTTATCAAGTCTTCAAAAGAATATCTTTTTTGCAATGTCGTGTTGCTATATAAACAGTGTTGCAACATAGCTGCTGTGCAGCATTTCTCTGACAGAGATCACAAACACACCTTCCAGTTCACACTGGACTGCCAAATGAGCCTCCGTCAAGGGATTTCTCATGACCCTTACAAACAACAAATGTAAGGATCACTGAAACCACCGGTATGTTGACGGACTGTCAGAGAACGGTGCTTGAACACCTCAGACATCTTGCAGAACAAGAAGTGTTTTGGTAAAACAACAACAAAGTGGCGGAAACAAGTCTTAAGAAAGACTTGATTGACAAAAAAACTGTGATGTTTGGTGTAAGGATTCCAAAGTTTGGTTGCAGGGCTTCTTTTCCAGAAAATGGGACATTTAAAGAACGTCATGGCCATCCCTGTTTAATATCACTGATTATTGCGCTTCATCTGAATCTATCAATTCAAGTCAGTTTATTTATACAGCGCCAAATCACGACAGGAGTTGCCTCAGGGCACTGTACTAAAACATGCACATGCATACAAAAGCCAATTAGTAAAAATTCTCTATCTAAGGAAAGAAGGCAGCAGACTCATGGAATCCACTTCGTCGCAGTCTCCCATCCTGAACAAGCGCAAAGGCAACAGTGGAAAGGGAAAACTCCCTTTTTAACTGGAGGAAACCTCCAGCAGAACCAGGCTCAGGACGAGCGGCCATCTGCTTCAACCGGCTCAATGTCGGTGATGTTGCATTGATTTTAGGAAACTATCGATTAAAAACATTCAAACATTTGTATTATCCAGAAAACGGAAGACTAACCGCAGGAAATGACAAAAAAAAAATACCATCCATTGTACATTTTGCTAAGTTGCAAAGCAACAGTTTAAAATATGACATCTGTTCAACAGTAACATGTTACCATGGCAACAATATTACATTCAAAACACCAGTCCATTTCTGTGAAGCGTCACAGCTATGAACAAAATATAGTTAGCGATGTTTTACTATATATGATGTATATATTTGCTCATCATTAGAAAGGATATGTATTTGCTGTTTATGATCATTGACTAATGACACCAAATCGGCAAACAAGTTATGCTTTTTCTACGGAGAGCTATATTATTGCTTGTTTCTTGATCTAGTTATTCAGTAGCCGTGTCAGAGTGGCTCAGCTGGACACTTCAGAAGAGCTCTGCAGAGGCTCCAGTCAATGTCACAGTGCTGCTGTCAGGTGCTCTGTGTTGAAGCTAAGAACAGACTGACAGCAGCTGCTGACACAACACTGCTTCTACAGCTGGTTCAGGACGAACGGTGACAATCTGGTTCACCGCTCACTCACCAAAGACAAAGTTGTCAGGTCTGAAGAGCTGTCCAAATGGGCCGGAGCGCACTGAATCCATGGTTCCAGGCTCCAGGTCCACCAGGATGGCACGTGGCACAAATTTGCTCCCTTTAAACAGAAATGTAAGGATAAAAGGAAGGATCATAGAAGGCTGGTGTAATTTATATATAGTCTATATATATCGTTTGATGTTTCCAGTGATGACAAATATACATAAATGCAGAAAAGTGTTTTTTTAAACCAGTTTCTCTAAAGGTTTATCCACCCTTACTGTCTCAGACACCTCTTGCAAGCAAACTGCTGCAGCATGCTGCACTGCTTGTTCTGGAGCAGAGGGGTTTCAATGTGCTGAGCTCTGCAGAGTGTGTTCAGACAATCTGCTCTCCTCTGTAGCAGTAAAATAAAAAATCTAATTTCGTAAACATCAATATAACAAAAAAAAAAAAAAAACAGCAATTTGGTTTTTGTGCAGTACTTGCTAATGATAACATGCTATGATGAAAAAAAATAGATCAGTAAAGCTGAAGTGTGATGAATAGATGACAGGTGTGCAGGCCTTCATTTAACCAAAGCTCCTGAGGGCACACCTTTGACTCACTGCATCAAGATGGAATGAGTCATCATTCTCTAATAGCCTAAATATGGATTCATAAAATCAAGGAGCTTGCATCCTGAGCTTAATATGCAAAGGTGGAGGACATGAAGACAGGATGCATCTGAATGAAGTTCATGCTGCAGCAGAATTATATTCGAGGAAAGGGTTCTGGAGGTCAGCTATACAGAGACTGCAGGTACCTGTGCTCCCTGCAGAGACAGAGACAAAGGGTAGGGAGAGGGAGGGAAACAGAGAGACATTTTAGCAATTTCACTGTCCTATTTTTGTCCTGCACCTGATTGGAGCTGTATAACACGTGCTAAATATGAATGTAATGTTGCATTCAGGTGCAGTTTAAGGCCATGCAATGTGAGCAAAATGTGACTCATTCAAAACAAATTGTATTATTATAATTATTACCTGACGCCTCATTATAGTAGACATTGATCCTCTCCAGCTGCAGATCACTGTCACCTTGGTAACTTCCGGTGGGGTCGATGCCGTGCTCATCACTTATCACCTCCCAGAACTAAAAGAGGAGAAATGCATTCTCTACACTTTGTATTGTTGGGGACACTTTGGAGAACAGACATGATGTAATAATAATAATAAATAAAAAAACGACTTTAGAGAATGCGCGTCAGGCTTTTTTTGCGCGTGGTGAAACGGCGCAGCAGCTTGAACATCATGGTGCGTTTAAGGACCAGACAGACGTAACTGCGCGCTGCGACTAAATTAATCACTAATTCACTTTTTTTTTTCTTTCTTTGAGCACAATCGTGATGGACTTTAGCAACTGTTTAACAGACAAAGCCTTACACAAGTTCAACACAAGCCACACTCCCGGAAATAAAGAAACATCCAAACCTTCGCTCCGATCTGGTTCCCACACTGGCCTGCCTGGATGTGAACGATCTCCCTCATGGTGAGCTGCTGCGGGGCAGAGAGCTGCTGGACTTCTCTGTTCAGGCTGTGGTGTGTCTCGGATGTCTAAATTTCTGTGCTGGGCTGGATGGATGCACTGCTGATGGGGTGACGTCGGGCGCGCGCAGCATCCCTCGCAGCCAATAGGAGCGGGCCGGTTTGATGCAGTGTGCCTGAGGATCCTGCCGCATCATCCTGACATCACCCTGTCCCAAACATGCACATTTTTTCCCACCTCTTCAAAAAAAAAAAAAAAAAAAACTCTGGATATGTGTCATACTTGTAACAGATCAGCAAGGACCCTGTTGTTCTATACTGTAAACGAAAAGGCTAAACCACTCATTGCAAAATGATAATAATAAAATCAAACACTGTAAAAAGGTTATTCTGAACTGTATCAATTGGTGCAGACTGGAAGAGTTGACTCCAGTAGTTTTTTCAGATATAACAAAGCTGAGCTGAACCATCCAAGAACCATGCAGCTGGAGTCATATGACTATAATCTGTGAGCAGACGTGGCAGAATCAGTGGAGTGTACTGCAGAAGGTCGACATTTAAGTGAATCTGCTGCTAAATGCAAAAGAACACAGAAAGCACAAGCAAGACAGCTGTTCAGAACAGATTGCATCTTATATGCTCCATCTTATATTACATTTCTTACTGTTCCATATTTTCCTAACAGAGCACTTCTCTCTCGGACTGTATGCTTACTAAGAGTTTCCAAAAGCAGAATGGGAGGAAGATCTTTCAGTTATCAGGTTCCTCTCTTGTGGAACCAACTTCCAGTTTCTGTCCACAAAGCTGACACGTTGTCTAGTTTTAAGACTGAGATTAAGACTTTCCTTTTTGATAAATCCTACAGTTAGGGTTGGCTTGTTATGCTGCTTATAGGTTTAGACTATCAGAGGTCAAATTAAGCTCACTTCTTAAAATGACTTGACCGTTTTCATTTGATATTGTTTCTATCTCAACATGTGAGTCTTGACCTTCCATTGTGTATCTGTTCCTCCTTCTTGACAGCCATTCACAAATTTTGCTTACATTTTCTTTTTACTTAAGGACACATTAACCAACAAAATAAGAAAAATATGTGGATTTTTTTTTCTTCTTCCCTTAAGCGCTCTGTGATTTTGCACTGAGTAAATGTAAAGCAAGAGTCTGCTGTTTCAGACACTGAAGATGCTCAAAGAAGAGGCTAGTTTCCTCCTGATCCTTCAGCAGATTGCTGAATCTTACAGACACCACAGCATTTCTTCAGGAGTACAGCCCCGCCCGAGGTTGGATGACATTAATGGTTTAGTAATCTCACATATTCTGTGAAATCCTATTCATAATCTATCAGTTTTACAAACGAGCTTCAGAATGTTCATAAAACAGCCACAATTCTTGTAGATCCTTAGCCAAAGATGATACTTTAAACAGGTTTAACAGTAAAACTCAACATTTGTCTTAATGTTGCACATTTTTTTATTTAATTACAGCTTTTAGTTCACTCTAAAAAGATGTTTGTAAAGCTCATCCATGCTGAGAAGGTTTAAATCCATCTCATCCCTTCTAAATGTTTTCCCTGCCCATTTTTTTTATTGCATAGTTGCTCTTATTTAGTTCTTGGCCTGCTAAAAGACCAAAGGTGCTCCCCTCCTGACTGTGGGAGGAATCAGTTCGACTTAGATCGCCTGCCGACTTGTTCTGACTCCATCAGTCCTTGAAACATGATCGAGGCAATTCCACAACAGTTTAATGCAGAAATCATCAGTAGACGATGCACAGTATCCCCAGTATCTTCGTGTTTCTTCTTAATGCCACATCTGGGTGTCTTCAAGTCCTAAACATCTGCTGCATCAGGACTTTCAGGAACTCCTGGGATTGTAGAATTAGCCTGTTTTGTGGTCTTTTTTTTTTTTCATTCATTCAACCTTTATTTATACAGGTTAGTCTCATTGAGCTACAAGGAGTCATTTACAAGAGAGACCTGATTTAAACAAAGAACAGATGAGGTGCACACAATAGACAACCATATAAAATGGAATTAGAAGAAATTATTTCTCTGCTCTTTTGCCTCACTTAAAATATATATTTTAAACAATCAACTCATTTTACGCTGTTTAAGCATCATTTACCGTATTTTTCGTACTATAAGGCACACTTAAAATTATTTTTCTCAAAATTCGACAGTGAGCCTTATAATCAGGAGCGCCTTATGTATTCTGGATATGCTTACTAACCTCGAACCATTTTTTTGTGGCTATTGTGGATGAGTTGAATAAAGTTTGACTTTGACAGTTTTGCTTAATATACTTTATAATCTGTTGCGCCTTATAGTCTGAAATATACGGTACTGATTATTTCAAGTTACCTGATCATTGAAAATTAAGCACAGATTATATATTTTTTCTATCAAGGAGGAAGTTAATGATAATGTAAAGGGGAAAAAAAAGATTTAAAAAAAATTACAAATTCAGAGCTGTTAAGTATGGTTTTGTTGTTTGAATACGTCATCAGACAGTGTGCGTGTATAGGTTTGCATTTTCAAATAAATTTAAAAAATCTGTGCTGAAAATTTTGTGACGCTTCAAGTTAGCATTGTAAAGAATCATGTGCCCAACTTTTATTAAAAATACATTTTTGTACCAAATTCCTGAGGCTGAGTATTCATCATCAGGGTTCTTGAGATTTTGGAGGCTGGTCCTCGAAGTTAACTTAAACTCAAATAAACTGAGAAATCTACTGAAGTTCCACAAAACTTTGTTTACTCTTTAATTCCCCTCCAGAGATGAACCTGATGTTAACTGACATTTAGATTTGGGGTTTTATGGGGAATTGATTTTATTTGAGCAATTTTGACCTTAATCATCGAAAGCAAATATACATTATACAGTATATCTATCTATCTATCTATCTATCTATCTATCTATCTATCTATATAGATATTTGTTTATTTAAGGTGCAACTTTTTGATTTGTGATCACGTTTTTTTGAGACCTCAAAAGGAAACAACAAATCACTGACAGCCAGCTTTCATCAATAAATAGTGGTTTATTTTAACAACAGGTATGGCTTATGTACAAGTGCGTCATGTCTGTTAAAATAAAATGAAACCAAACAGGTGATACTTAAAGAGATGTACAATCCACGATTTTTACATTCATTCAAGCCTCCAAAGAGATTCTGAGGCGCTCAGCTGAAGACAAGCAAACCTGGCGTGTGTTCATGAGGAAATGTATGCAAGTTGAGATTAACGAACCACAATTATAGTTTCACCAGTCCAAACTATGACTTAAGACCATTTCATCGTACGGAAACAGAAGCTTCATACCAATTCATCATCAATCCTCCAAGTGATGCCGCCTCTCTGAGCTGCATGGCAGATAATGATCAATTCTCAGAGACGCCGACTGTGCCGTGCTCACTGGTTTTATCCGTGCCTTGGTTGTTTTAGATCTACACAGGTAGATTTCTGCAACACACACCTGGAGACAGATAACCCTCACAAACACTGACTCCTATGAGGCTTTTGACCAACGCTGTCAACACACCCTAACCTGCTGCAAAAGATCATGTGTAAACAGTAGTTTTTAGATCATCTTCAAATATCCAGTCCGTTTTCCCTTTTTTTTTTGTGTCTTCCACTTGTAAAAACACCAAATCTGATACCTTAGAAGTGCAGTCCGTTGTGCTTTGAGGTGCAGCGCACTTCGTGTTTATCATCAACAAATACATAATTTGTTAAAAAGACCACAGCTCATCAACAAATGAGCTATTTTTTAACACATGTTGCATTTGCGACACCTATAAACCAACCGGTTTAGATGTTGTGAAGCTGGGTTCAGTGGAAAGGTTATGAACAGAGAATATCTTACCTGCTGCAGATAGCTCTTAGAATGACTTAATTTTAAAAAATCCCATCCGAGTTCATGAGAACGCCACTTTATGAAGCTTTAGACCACCGTTAGTTCCCCATTACATGATTATTTACATATTTACAGCGGCAGCAGCTAGTTGTAGCACTTCTGGTTCAGCTAATGTATTTTCAGACAAGAACGTCAAGTTTTCTGCCAAAATAACTGACAGCAGTGTAAACAGGGTGACGTGCTATGAAATGTTCAAATGGGCGAAATCCACTTCGATATTGGCCATGCATGAACTAGCTACTAACTTAGGTCAGAATTAAACAACGTCTCTAAACTGAGGCCACCAAAGAGCTATCCACAACCGGTAACATGTTGATCATAACATTTTCACAGAGTCAAACTTTAAAAGATCTAAACTACCCATTTGTCCAAAGACCTGTACCTTTTTGTGAGTGCAGACTGGATTTTTGTGGGTAAAGTGTCTGTAAGGTTCTTTGTTGTAACAAACTTTTGAGATAGTGATGTGTTTGACTCCTGAATCACACCTTGATAGATGCTCAATACTCCCTGGACATACGACGAACTGTTTGATCACATTTGAAACGACAAGACATCATTTAAATGTCTCTAAAGTTGTACAGTACTGTATTATTAATATTATTGACGATTATTGTGAGGCTTGTTGTAAACGGTGGTAATCACATCCTTTTGACAAGCATTACATTTTCAAAAGCACTACAACTGTCAAGTTATACACGTATTTACGTCAAGTATACTGATGTCCATGGACACGGGCATGGACTTCGGAAGGAAAAAGTGCTTCCATAATAAAGAGACTGTCATTTTCACAAAGAAGTTGATTTTCAAAGTATCGTTTGGAAACATGTATTGCTTCTTTTTTTTTTTTTTTATGATTATTTTAAGCGAAGTTTTCTTGTGTTTTTGTGCCTGAATGAACACAATGACAAACGTTAATATTAATGCCAGAACATGATTTGGAAAACACACTATTGATGCAGCAGCGATTGACAATCGCGTCAAACTTTTTTTTTTTTTTGTGGAGTCCATTGATTACACTTCAAAACAACTTTTTTTTTTTTTAAAGATTTGATAGTTTTGTCGACACGTTCACAATAGATTTCATGCGTTTTGTCGTCACTGCACAAAAATAAAGTGCCACCATGTTAAGGTGTCACAAATACTGTAAGAATGATGTGTAGCTCTGTACAAGAAGTGCACACCATCGAGGAATATTCCAAATATTTTGAGTTTAAAAACAAAACCGAGTCAAATTCAACAACTTATTTACATTTACTTAAGGTATTACATTCACAACAAAAGGGCATTTGCATACCAGAACTTTCATTGGTTGAAATGATTCCAAAATATGTTTCTTCTTACCAACAAAATATTAGACTTCTTTTTTCTTTTTTTTTACAAATATCATTGCTGATGCAATAAACAATGTGCTGACTAAAGCAGTTCAGGCCAGGTTTTTTTTTTTTAATAAATTCTAATAAATCAAATTGCAATAGAGCTAAGAGTCCCCTTCTGTACTAATTCTCTACATTGGAAAAAAAATATGAAACTGTGAACGTGAAGGTACGTCTGCATGTTGGGTCTCTGCGTGCCGTTGATAGCTTTGGTTTGGTTTGGCTGGAAAATTGAGTCAAATGATTAAATAAAGCAAAAACAGAAACAAATGGACCTAACGGGGCAGAATTCAATTGCACCCCAAAGATGAAAAATGAATATCCTTTACTAAAAATCGTGCATAACATTATGACCACTACACTAAAGTCCCAGATTGAGAGACTTTGCAAGAATCTAAAGGTTATACATTTAAGGGAACTCAAAAAGTGGTTAACAAGAAAATGTTGCTTCAAATTTGAGATTTTCTGCATAGTTCAATTCTTGAAAAGGTTAAATCAACTATGGCTCCTTTAAACACTTTCAAGTGTTTTTTTTTTTTCATGCAATCAAAACACGTTACAGCAAATCCCCTGAATGTCAGCAAGTACACAAAATGGGCTTGTTGCTATGGGAATGTCTACAAAAACTGGCACGTAAATCAACTACCCAAAATCAAACGTGACGTGACGTCAGCTTCACATCCGCCATTCCTTTCACCCCCTCTGAACAAATACTTTGCTGCTGTTAATGTTTTGGCACTATGTCTACAAAGATTTTGGTTAGGGTACTTTTTGGTTTGTATTTCAGGAAAAAACAAATAAAACACCAATCGTATTAACAAAAAGTACTTTTGTAACATTCACTGGTTTTGTCCACGTAGATAAGGCGACAATGTTTTTCATACAAATACGATCATTTGAAGCACAAGTACCAGCAATATTTTATTTGATTTATCCCCCCTCATGATCTTTGCATTTCCTTTTAGAGCTGATCTCTCTCAGTGGTTGTAAGCATTAAAATAACAACGGTTTCACTCCTTGCTCCTAATTTGTTATACATTCTTTTTCATTTGTTTTCTTCCTAGTAGTTTATACGCTGGTGATTTCTAGTGACGTTCCTGAAAAGTTTAACTTACTGTCACAAACCAGCCTGTGGCACGCTCGTACTCGTGGTCTCATTCATTGGCTAAATGCACAAGAAGGGGCAGGACGGTGGGAGAAGCGTTGAGAAACGTAACTCAGCTCTGTAAGATAAATCCACTCAGCTGCAGGTAGGCACAGTCTTCATGATGCACCTGAAGTCTGAGCAGGGCAGTTCTTAGCGCCCCC